TTTATTCTACATGCAACTGGAAGTCATTTAAAGGTTTGGAGCAGAGACAGGATCTGATTCATATTTTAAAGGATCTCTCTGGTTACTGTGTAGACAAAAGATTGGAAGGGGCCAGGAGCAGAAGCAGGAAAACCAGCCAGGGTACTATTTCAACAATCCAGATGAAGAGTCATGGTGACTTGGACTCACCCAACGGAGAAGACTAAATGGACTCAGGATTTATTCTAGAGATGAAACTGATAGGACTTGCTAATGAATAGATATGGGGAGACAGTGCAGGTAAAAATTCAAGACTGACAACTGGATATTTGGTTTAGGCAACTGGGTGGATGATGGTACCCGTTTACTGTGCTAGGCACCTGCCTCTCTTCGAGGGTCAATTTCATTACAATTTTTTTTGGCGGGGTAGGGGAAGAGTTAAGTAAATTAAACTGCAAAGTAATCTGAAATGTTCTTTTTATGTTAAAATATGGTAAGCCATTGCTTTGACTGGCACTGCCCCACCCCACACATCAACTCCTCACAGCTTAAATGTGAAAGTCACTGTTTAAATGTCAATTTCTCAAGGGAGGAGTTCCCTGAACATCCTACATGATGCAGTGAGCTCCCTTGCATCCCATTATTCTCTCAGCCCTTTATGTTTACTCTCTCTCTAGAATATAAGGCCCTCCTTAGCAAGAGCCTTGATCTCCTTCCGGCTCCTCGCACCCAGCACAGGTCTGACACATGCGGCACGTGATGGTGAAGGTACAACACGGCTACAAATACATTAGGGATCAATATTTACATTTTTACATGAATTTTGAAGATACAACTTAGGAATCCAGTAATGCCATCATTAGTTGTCCCTCAGACCAGACCCCCACACCGTGTCATACATGTTCATAGCAGTATTTTAGGGAATAACGTTTCAGAAGTCCTAGACTTGACTATCACATTGGTGACATTCTAGGGAAAATGAAGTAAATTAGCAGGCAATAAGGTGCTCTGTGGATCGAAACAGTTAGAGAGGCTAACAGGGAGTCCCCATTTGACAAAACTAACACTTTTCTTTCAAGTTTTAGGTGAAATTTTATAAGAAAGAAATATGAATGTTATAGGCTTATTAACAATACTGTAAGAATTTTTTAAAAGGATCTTCAGACTAATAAAAACTTGTCTTTTACATCAAAAGGCAAGAAAAGATGGGGTGAGAGAAAGTTAATATGCTTCTGTTCAATCTTTCAGCAGATAATATAGAAAAAACACCTCTATTTCATAATGATAACAAACACTGAAACTGAGCTATGCAGAAAACTATTCTGCCTGGTAAATCTCACTTTGATGCCTTCTCTCTTTTGTAGATCAAGAGGAACCTATATTTCTGTGTCAATTTAAAAATTGAAATTGATCTGTCTCCATTTCTCAACAGTGTCTGTCATACCCAACATGATGCTTCAGGAGGCTGGTAAAGGTTGGTGGTTAACAGCATTTTTAAACAACAATAACAAAATACTAAGAAGCTCAGAAGGTCATTGATTGTGAAGGTGACCTTGACAGAAGAACTTGATGAACTAAAGCCTTTATTCACTAAATAACAGGTTAGTATATTTTACTGGCTAAATCATGGGACCTGACAGGCTACTCTTCACTGTGTCAAAAGCACACCCACCCGTTATTAGTAGAGGCTTCATCTAATTCTTCTAAAACTGGATTCTCCAATTACAATTTTCGTAAACAGTGGAGATTTTCTGCCAATTCAGGTAGATTCCAAATGTCAAGTAGGTCAGTAATAAAATGAAAAGCTGGAAACTTTAAAAGAGACATTTAAAAACAGGCTTTAAAAACATGGGCCTTAGCAGAGAACTGACTGGAACATACTGTGAAAAGACCACTATCATTAAGTACATGAATATTAACAGAAAAAACCCTGCAGTGTTCATAAAGAGTTACGACTTGGTGAAATAATTACAAATAATACAAGTCAAAATTTTAGATCAGTTATAAGTGCCTGTAATGATATTCTATCCTAAAAAGCAAAATGATTTTGAAACCCTAAGGGTTTCCATTGACAAAGCTATTTACCTAAACAAAGAAGAATTCTTTTGCTCAAACATCTACCACCTTCTGGTTTTTTACAAATTAAAACTGGGGAGGCAGTGCCAGAGGGAAGAACAACAGAGTATTTAAATATTAGGACTGCCATTAAGCTCACATTTTGATTTAATAATGAAATAGTTTAAGTTCTAAATTTATTGTTATTATTAAGTGAAGAGTTGTGTGGTCAGTCTGAAAAAAAGATAAGAGAAGTTAAAGAAGTATGCTGTCAGCCTACCAAAGGATTTCTGAAATCTTGTTCTAGAGCAACTAACCTCTAATGAATAGTGTGAGAACTACTGACTCTACATGGCACATGTTGTTTAATTTGAAGTGGTATTTCTCCCCTTCTCACTGCAGTTAAATAAGAGTAGCAAAGAGGCAAGCACTGTTCTGCACTCAGTCAGGTAAAAGCTGTCTGAAGAGAGAGCTCAGGACTCTAATTCTGTCCCAGACATGGGGCATGGCAGGCACCTTCTTGCAAAGACTGAGTAGATCATCGTGGTAAAGGCTCAGGAAGTGCAAGATGAGAGTCTCTAACCTGGCATCTCTTCCCGTCAAGTTTATGACTAAGTTCATCTATCATAATTGGTATGTAGTAAGTATTTCACAGGCAACTATGAACACCAGCACATTTTTTTTAAAGTAAATATACTGGTGTTTCCCTCTATGACAAGAGGATTTTCATTAACCACCTCCAAAAGAAGTCCACTCTACAATACAAACTTCAAAAACACAAAATATATCCTGCCTTTACCAAGCTAACTTTAAACAAATATCTTTGCCAAATTGGAGATCCCTCTATTTCACGAGACCATAGTTAATAAAGCTATAGAAATACCTACTTGTTTTTAAAAAGCTTTTTGGATTAAGAAAATGGACAGTAATTCATGTAAATGTATCAATCTCAATTGGCTTCTCTAGTATGAAAAGAAATAAATAATGCAGATCGCCGTTTTTCGGATAACAAGTCTTAACTCTTTGCCAAGGATATGGCAAAGACTCTGATGGAAACGGCAGTGATGTGTACACAAAGGTGAACATAAATAAATGTGTGTATGATAAATGCTGGGAATGGACATAGCTAAACATGTATGCAACTGCACAGAGATGACTGGAGACCTAAGGAAAGATACTGGCTCAACTGTATCTAAATAAGTTCACAGGGGTTTCATGGCCTAAAAAATCTGTGACAGCAGAATTTCTATTAAGGTTAAAAAAGTTCCACCTCCTCCTTGAACAATTCAGAATAATGCCATCTTAGAATATAATGAATTACATCACAAATACACTTTTATGTAAAAAATTTAGGAACAAAACAAGAGAAAAGGACCAGGATCCTAAAAGAGGATGCATGCTTATGAAATATCTTTGAATATCTAAAGCTGTTTAAAAGCTATTATATTGGCACCTGGAACCCCAAAATATCTAGTTTCCCTTGGGAAGGAGTAGCTATGCCTCTTCAATCATCCCCTAAAGGCAAAGAAGTTTGACCCCCATGCAACGGATAAAAGTCACCCAAAAAATGAACAAAAGAGGTGTTTGGAAAAACCAGAACACCATTCATCCCAGCTAACGACTTGTTCATTATGAGTGATGATGGATAAAGACTTCTCATGCTGAGATGAAATCAAGATTTATATGCATTGTTTCCTCTCCCAACTTGTGGGAAGATCATCATCATTTAATTCTATCTCTGCGGCCAGTGATGGGCATCCAGAGAGCTGGTTATCAAACGGCGCAGTCAGCTGGCAAAAGCCGAAACGTGCAGTTGGCACATCTGGACGGAGCCGCCACAGCCGAGGGTGAACAATGACTCCTGGCAAGCATCCAAATTGCTTGCAGACGCTAGCAGGTCTCATCTACAACCGCCCCTACCAGCATCTCTCTCTCTCTCTCTTTTTTATGAGAATCAGATTTTCATTGCTCCATTCAATTGCTCTCCTCTGCCATTTTTTACAGCTCTTATCGTTCCCCTGGAATATGGCCTTGACACAGCTCATCCGTGTCCTTCACTGTGTTATCTCTTCTAACTTTTATTAAAACTTCAGCTTTCATCGGAAGATAGCTAATTAAATCTGGAAAAGATTATATGCCTCCCCTTAAAAGAGCACAAAACTATTTTCTTCAACCTGAGCAATGCTTTTTTCCCTTTCCAAAAGGTGAAATCAAAGGTGTTTAAGAAGTCTCTTTATTTACAAAGCTAAGATATTTGACATGTCATATATGAACTGATTTATATTAAAGTTGTGTGTGGTATAACAAATCTTTCAGCTATTTTTCAAAATAATTATTTCTCAATACTGGTAATATTTTTTCTATATCTTTTAAATATCATAGCTAATACCATAAGCTTATTTTCTATATAAAGTTGGATAATGAGGAATTAGATATTAATAGGTATTTGTGCACATCAAGTGATTTATCTTTTTTAAATCTTTTAAAATTTGCCCTCATTTGGTAAAACTGAAGAAAAATTTTTCTTCTTTTTTTTTCCATTCCCCAAACACTAGTAACTATAAGTTCTCCCATGAAAAATTAAGTGAAAACATGAAATTAAAAGCAGTGATTCAAGTTTAGGACTGATTCGGTTTTCAAGACAGCTTTACATCAACTAATCATTAACACAAGTAGCTCTGTCTTAATCTACCACAAATTATTAATGATGGAACTTCCATAACTGATATGAATACATTCTTCTCACATATGCCACTGACCCAGTCCCTTCCTGAGCCCCAGTGGCAGAGTAAAATCACTTTTTTGCTGTAGACCTAACCAAACCTTCCAGCAATGATATCTGAAACAATCTAGCCAGCCATCAAACACACAAACATACCCACTCACCCCTTCCCTCCCCACATACCCTAAGCCCTTTTAACTAAGGGTTAAGCTTCTACTTCCAGGTTATGGTTTAGTTATCCCACCTGAAATTTTCTGAGATCCCTTTCTTCGCTTCACTGCCTTTAGCAAGATTTCTTTCATTGTGACCTTTGTGTTGTCCACCTGAATAAGGGAGAATCCATGAGCAGCATTTCTGTAGGAAAAGACAAATATTAAATTGTCACCAACATTCAACCAAAGAGATGTGATTACAATCTCCACTGTGTTTAAGAAAGTTTTAAAGAAAGTGTACACTGAAGTGCCAATTATTTAAAAATAGGTTAAATAAATCTACTTCCAGTGGGGGAGAAATAAAAGCATTCTAGTACCAGCAGTTCCAAGTGAAAGAGAGGTCAGGGTTAGGAAAGGCTTTTCTAATTGATCTCATATTTAACTTAATTGGTCTGTGCGGGTCAGTGGTACCTTGGGTTTCTAGTGTTGGCTCCCAAGCCAAATCCTGCAGCAACAATTGACAATTGATAAACTTGGCTTGTGTCAGTAGATGTCACTGCAGGCAGATACTATCATCGTAAGAAGCTCATGGAGCCCCAGGCAAAAAAATGTCATGGGGTGGGGAAACAATGATACCCCAAAGCAATTTAGAATGAGGAAAAGAAAAGGTTCTTTCTTTTATTACTACATTAGCTAGTAATAAACACACACATGCACACATACACACACACACACACACACACACACGCAAACATATTTTTTTAAAAAATACACAGTCTGTGTACACTTCAGTAGAAATGGTTTAATATATTTAGCCCTAGAAAGTCAAACAAAAGATCAGCCGAAGCACTTATAATGATAAGATAAAATACTAACACTACTTGTAAGGGGTAGTGGATCCAATTGGGTTGTGGGGAGTGCTTCATCTAGATAAGAAAAAACAGCTAAGGAACAAGTACAGGAACATCTCCTGTGTGAGGTATAACTTCACCAAGACTGTTAATTGCAATAGCAAGTATCACAAATACTACTCACTACGCTTGGGCACTGGGACAAAATCGGCCAATTCCAAGTAGCTCATGTAACAAACGGGACCCAAGTTTCCAACTATGGAACACAGGAATTGCCACAAGGAATTTGGTTACATTCCCATTTCCCCATAAGAATCTCAAAATGGAATATGGCCAAAAAACATGGCAGAACTTCATATTGACAAGAATCTGAAAGAAAAGCCAAGCCCCAAGCTAAGCCCTGGAAAAGCTTCCCAATAATAGGACAGGCTGGGAAGGAGCCTTAAGCCTAGGTTGAACCCAACCAGGTGGCTAACTCTCCACAGGGGATAGGGGCTGATCGCAAAACCAGGGACCTAATTTGCTTCCCTAATACAGAGACATCTCCACAACCCTCCTCTCCACACGGCTTGCTGTTTAATCCTTGACATTCCATTTGTTAAAAAGCAAAAGCCGATGCTGGTCTGGCCAGCACAATCATCCATTTTAACTTGGTCAAGTTCTTGCTATTGAACAGCAGGCCTGAGAACTGTCAAGCTAATTTTACTGAACACTCTGTTACTGAATCATGCCTGAGTCCCAGCCATTCTTTACCTCAGAAGCTGGACCCTATCCCAGAACAATCTTTAAAAGTTTATTTTACTGATCAAAGCAAAATAAGAAATAGCTCTTTTTTAAAAACTATATTTAGGGAGCAATGCAGTAAGTGATACTTTGGCAAGAGTACTGAAATGTAAAGTGCCTTGTGCATTTATAAACTTGGGGGTATTTGCTCTGGCGCTAGGCCAGTGTGTGTTTGGAACAAATGCCAATCAACCACGCTCAGATTTGCCTTCCCCTGCTTTCTCCTCAGAAGTCAGTATGTGCTCCATCTGTGACAATATGTTGGGCGATGGATGAGTAGGGCCTGAAAGGAAACACAAGTTCTTGGGTACTCACAAACTAGTACTGGCCTAGACCTCATGAACTTCTATCCACCTGGCTTCTACCTGAACTATCTTAGATTTGAATCTGCTTATAAATTGCCTACATTCTCTCCTAATCTGCTGCTGGCTGATAGCATTATTCCAAACCAATACATTTATCTTTTTCAGCAAAGGCAGACTAAAAGCTCAAAAGGAAGCCTTGTGTTTGGACTAACTTCCATAAATTAAAAGCATCCTTTTAAAAGATTTTTCAACAGAGGAAAATCCCTAGTCTGTATTTTTCTGTCATTTTACCAAAACGTACCTGGGTGACAAGGTTAAAGCATGCAGAGGAAATCCCTGGCACTTATCATCCACAGGCATTACTGATAAATTGTGTGGTGGAGGAATAAAGGATTACCTTCTGTATTTTTTCATTACACTTTTCTTTTGTTACAGAATACATAAATCCATTGTGGCACAATGTAATATGTATCACCATGCTACACCTGCGGACGCTTCCGAGCGGCTGCCATGTCTGTGCAGTCAGGAATGATAAGTGAGCCACCCGTGAATGTTAACGATAGTGATCATTCTGAGGTAACTCGGCTCTCCATCTTCCTTTACAGCCTCCGTGCTGAAGCCAGGGTAGCAAGGTTCATGAGAGGAAAATGAAAACAACAGTGAGGGAAGGGGCACGCATGGCCCTCGGAATGTACCTTCACGAGCATGCAGTATCTTACTCTGGGGCTCCATTTCGGTAAAAACGTGCACGTTAAAAGGAGAAAGAGGTTTTGCCCTGCGTACTGCACATCAACCAGACCCAATAAAAGTTTCCTCAGGTCAGTTCCACACTCCACTCCCTTCCCTCCAGACGAATGCAAACTTTGGATCTTGATCCACATCTGTAGCACCTCAGTGGGGAAGATGGACAGCGGTTTCTTTTTTTGAGTAATACATTTATAGTTTTCTAAAATGTCAGAGTACAGAACATAAGTGGTTCTCAGCATCCATCTAGGTGCAACTGTTAAGTTATGCTCCCGTCTAACAAGTGGAATGGAGACTTGCCATCACAATTTTCAGCCCAACTTCCAAACATTCTAGGTTTTATGCCTCATTTCTTTATATCCAGGATTTTTTATGGGCTTTCTGAAAAGTCTATTGAAATACATCTTTTAAAGCTGCTTTTATTTAATGTGGCGCATTGGGTCTGAGACTGAGAAGACAATGATCTCAGGTGGGGGGTGGTAATGCTACTAGTCCCACTGCCTTCCTTGCGGCGCTGTGCTCTAGTCTCCGAGCTGGGGCCTGCACTGGGATGGCTAGCCCTCAGACAGACAGGCGGGCTACTCACAGACTCAGATCAGAAACTGCTCCTCTTGTGGGCAGACAGCTTGTTTTCTCCCAGGACAAGGCATTCTAGGCGCACTGGGCAGAAGCTGCCACCTTCCCACAGCTCCTTGGCCTGCCCATGCTGGGTCTAGGATGAAACTCTACTTCAGGGAGCTGACTAAATACTGCCAGGAGTACTTCAGTCAATTCAAAATTAGGTCCTGTCAAGTCTCCTAACCACTGAAAAACGTACAGGCATTTTAAAAAGACATTACTCACTTGAGGAATTCAGCTCTGTCCTAGTGCAAAGCCACTCAGCTACCACAGAGAAGTTTTTATACCAGCATTAACACAACACAAACAGCATTTCTCTACTAAGGAGTAAGCCAGAGGTGATGGGAGCCACAGAGGAAACAGGGACACAGTTCTTCATCTGAAAAGCTTAGATTCTATTAATAGGGACAGAGCTGGAACCAGAACCCAAGCTGGAAAGCAGCATACTAGAGAGGAAAGCACAAGAACTGGGAGTTGAATACCCTTTGATTGAAATCCTGGTTCTGTGTCTAACCAAAATGTTGCTTTAACATGTGGGAACCTCATCTGCATTCATGAAATAAGGAGGATATTTCCCTAAAGAATTGTCATGAGGATAAAATAGACAATGAATGTCAGGCACCTGGCACTAAGGCTGGCAAATAGTAAATGGAGTTTACCAGTGTTGTTATAGTTCTCTTTTGTTCCCTTGTCCCAAGTCATCATCCCAAGAGAAAGCCCCATTCAGCCCCTCTCTCCCCTACCTCCTAAGCAGAGATTTCTTATTTGGGGGAATGGGTCTCAACACTCATTGCCTACAATTGGTAACACAGAGACATTAAAATGTGTAATTTTCTGGGCTTGGTGGCAACATTCAGGGGTACTGTCAGTGAGCAGCCTCTGCCCCAGGCATCAAAATCTCCCAAGAGCTAAAAGGAGAACACTCTGGGGTCAGTTTTCAAAGCTTTCCTTTTTGACAAAGTAAACCACAGAAGCAGGTATGCTCCATCGTGGCTTAACTCATTGGCTTTGGATGGTGATGGAGGAGGTCAAAAATCATGGCTGTGGTATAGAGAAATTCAATGAGTTTATTAAGAGCTTTTTGATTTGTGCAAGTTGTTCACTGTTTAAAAATTACAACAATAATAGCAGCAGCTACTATTTACTAAACACTTATTATGTGCCAGGTACTGTTTTAAGCTTTTCAAAAAAATCTGTATTAACTCATTCAATCCTAAAATAATACTAATATTAAACCCATTTTACAGAAACTGAGTCTGGAGGCATTAGGGAATTTACCTGAGGTCACTCATCTATTAAAGATCCTATTTTGGATTCAGAAATCAACACTATGGTCCCTAACCCAAATAGCACAGTTTGATAGGAGAGAAAGACAAAGAAGCCAACAATTAATTTTAGCTTTGTGAGATAAGCACAAAGATGAAGGTAAGTTCAGAGTGCTGCTGAAACACAGGGGCACTTAACCCAGCTACATGGGAGTGTGGGGGTCAGGGAAGCTTCTTAGTAGAGATGATGTATCAAAACACAGCCATTGTTTTGCTCTATACCATGCTAAGAAAGATGGTAGCAATACCAGAAGGCAGCAGAGCCCAGCAAGCTCTAGAATAAAATGGCTTGGTTTGGAGTCCCAGTTCTGCCTTCCTTGGGTAACAACATTATCACTCGAACTTCATTTTCTCATCTATGAAATGGGTATAATAATAATTCTTGGATTATAAGATTGTTGTGAAAGGTGAAACACTTCTAGAGTATTTACCATAACACCTGTCATATAATAAATGCTAAATAAGCTACAGTTAATATATTATAGTAACATATATATGTTTTCATATGTACAAAGAAGTGATATATAATGATAAGATAATGACAATGGTCAACATTTATTGAGCACTTAATTTATT